CCTGCTGAGTCAAGATTTTAAAACTTCTACAGTACATTAATACATATAAAAGGAAAAGAACATAGGGTTTATGTTTTTCCTCCTCATTTTACCGTATTTCTTTAAAAAGAATACTTTGTTCCATTAAGAAAGTCAGTTCTTAATTTCATTCTATCCCAATCTCAATTCAAAGAACGTAATATTATCTTGATGTGTTTTTTCATACACTGACATACAAAACAGACACTGATACAGCATAATTTAATGACGGGTATGTTCGCATATCAAAATCCTGAGGTAATGGGACTGAAGTGCATAATTCAAGTGAAGTGCATATTCAGATTTCCCTTGCACTATGTAAGTGAATCGTGTGCACGTGTTGGACTCTGCATAACCTCCCCTCTTTTTTTTTTTTTTAAACATTACATTGATATTCAAAAGTTAAATAATAACTTAAGTCTGTATTCATGTTCTGCGGTACTCTTCTGGCTTTTATACCCATTCTGTCCAATTTATTGGTCTTTTCCCATTTCGTATACTTGGTATATCATAGTACCTAGAAAAAAAATGCTCTATTTAGGTATTGTACAAACAAGATCTATCCGCTGCATTCCTCCACACTACAGGAACATAAATGACAAATTCTAGCATTTCAAAATAGAATATCGCTTCTAAGTCACATAGAAAAATTCTAGTATTTCCATTCCACAACATCATCATCTACTCTGCTGACAGGCATTATGAACTAGTAAGTAGATACAGTAAGTCAGAAAGAGTAATTCTAGGCATTTATGGCAAGGGAAAATACAGTTTTCTTTTTACAATAGAAAAACACTGCAGAAATTAACAATGAAAAACAGTGATGTTAGGATGTTCTTTAAAATGATGTTGCCCACATGTGTTTTCCACAAGCTCAAACTGAGGACCCTGAAGTACATAACCGTGGTAGCTAAAGTCAATGGAAGTCCAGGTGGCCATCGGACAGTTCTTAGTCGATCATATCTATTCCCGCACACTTTTTCATGCCACCATTAGCATCAACACGAGTGTGCAGTTAGCCAATAAAAGAAAGCTATCAGCCTAGAAGCTAGCCAGTGCATGCTCACACAATGCTAATACCAGAGCAAAGGGTAGCAACGGAGAGAGAGGCCGAGACCATCAAAATTAGAATTTCAAGCAACATGCTATTATGGAAACACTCCTTCAACATAACATTACAAGACTGAAATATAAAACCTTCATTGCTGTCTGGAAATAATAGTGTATAAGATATTTTACAATCTTTGAGATTAACTACAGACACAGGAATATCACTAATCTATAAAATGGAAGTAACTTGAATATCGAAACAACCCAGATAAACACTATTACAAACACACCGAAATTTTAGTTACTGCATAGTGCATCATTAATATACCATATTCATTACTTTAAAATATTAAGAAAACACAGCAACTTAATTGTTACAGTACCTCCGATTTACTTGCATCTCAAGTTGTTGTATTTTTTCCAAAAGCCCTTTTTCAGCAGCTTCCCTCTGTAATTCAAACTCTTTACAAGCAGTTTGTACTGCATCCTCTTTTTCACAACTGAGCTTCTGAATGAGCAACTGCCTGTCTTGTTCATGGTTAGATACTAACAGTTCTTTCTCTTCCTTAAGCTTATGGATAATAGCTTCATATTTTTCCTGCTGCTCACAGAGAGACAATTTTTCTGTTTTTTCCTTTTCTAGGGCATTTGCTTCCAACTCTAACTTACTTTGTAGTTCCGTTATTTGCTCTGAAAGTCTTTTTTCTGCCTCAGAAGCTTTCTGATGACGAAGTGTCACTTTATTTAGTTCAGTTCTAAGCAAATTTGATTCTTCTTCATATCTGTTTACTAGCTCAGAAATGCACTGATCTTTCTCAGTTGTCATCAGAGCCCTTAGGACCGATAAGCCCACTTGATATTCATCACTGTTAATTTGTATTTTATTGTTTAATTTATCTATCTCCTTCTTTAAGCTTTCAGTTTCCTTATCAATCTGAGATTTTAAGGCCTCTTGTTGCTGGTTTCTGCTTTCTTCCAAAAGAAGCTTCATTTCATCAGTTTCTGCCTCTTTCAGGGCAAGTTCAACTTCTAATTTGCACCTCAAATCAGACAGATCTGAAACCTTGAGTTGTAACTCTTCTACCTGTTGTTGTTTCTCTTGCACAACTACTGCATGAGATTCCTGCATTTGTTCAAGTCTGTGCTGGTTCTCTTTTTTTAATTTATCTAAACAGTCCTTGTGCTCAGCTAGCACCTTCTCAAATTCCTGTAAATGCCTGGCTTGTAAGTTGCTTTCCAGTTCTTTTAAATGACTTTGCTCTAAACTCTCAAGTTCTGCCCTCAGGAGCTGTAGTTTTTCATTGCTTTCAACATGAAGTTTTTTCAAGTCTTCAAGTACTATCTCACGTGACTGTCTCAGTTCCTTAATTTCAGAATTTCGCGTCTCCATTTGGCATTCCAATTCAAGTAATTTCTGGTCTTTTTCATTCTGAAGACAAACTACAGCTTCTTTCTCATTTTTCACCACTGCAAATTCATCATTCTTATTCTGAATAACTTCCTCAAGGCCTAGTAAGTCACCTTTTAACTTTTCAATCTTCTTCTTATTTTCTTCACCATCCTCCAGTAACTTATTAATTTTAGTTTCATATTCACTTTTCAAAGACTGTAATTCTTTTTGATGTTTATCTTTTAGTGTTTTTTCAAGTGACAGTTTTACCTTCTCAATAGTATTTACTATTTCTAATGAAGTACATTTTAAAGAATTAGAAAAGTCACACTGTTCTCTTTGTACAAGTGTTCTAAAGTGGCAAAGATCTTCTTTTATACCTCTTAAATGCACCTTTGAGTCTTGAGCAATAACCCTACACTTCTCCATGCAAACACTGAGAGATGCATTTTCTGCTGAAACATCCTTTACACAAGAACTTGTATCTTGCATACGTCTACTGTCTATTGCATTGATAACTGAAGAATAAAGAGATTCCACCATCATTTCTGGACTTTGGGGATCACTTATTACATTAGGAGATACTGGATTTTCTTCTATTACAAATTCATTTACTGCTGACATAAAGTCAGATTCTGGACTTTCTGCTAATGAATCCAAATCTAATGATCCTTGCTTAAGGGCTTGCTCCAAGTTGGGATGGGCAATAGTTTCAAAATCAAATGTTTGCGCATCAATGCTGTCTGGAGACAATTCTTCTAATGGAGCTGGGGGACACACAGGAGGACACAGGGGACCCTGAAGACTGAGTGATGGAGGAGTTCTTGAAGAGGTAGCAATTGCAGTTCCTGTTGTACTTTCCATCCTTGGTGTAGTAGCAGATTGTGGCGATGCTTGACTGTTGGAGGCCTACAAGTTATAAAATACGAAACAAACACTTAACAAAGTGACAGGCAAAAGTGTTAATGTTTTAAATCGATTAAAATTTACCAGACAAAACCAAGAACTTAAAGTCAGCCTTATCTGTAACGATCAAAAATATGTATGACTAAAATTTAAGCAAAAATTGCAGAAATTCAGAGATATTTTCCATTAAGTTTCAAAAAAGCAGCTTTTGTAAATAACTAAATATTAAATGTTCACCTACCCAAAGTCCTACATAGATCACATATAATAGTATTTGAGAGGGCTGAAACACAAGTTTGGATGACACAAAAAACTGAAGTAATCAGTCAGAAATAGGCTTTTTTTTCTAACAGCCTATAGATTTTGTTTCTTCTAATAATTTTGTTACTAAAATATTTTTATTTTATTGTTGCTATTACTGCTGTTAAAAAAATCAGTGTAACCTGGTCACTATTAATATACTAAATTAAGAAGGTTTACAAAAAGTTTTACTACAACAAAAACATGTATAAGAATTGTTCTGCTTGTGATAGTGTAAAAGACAGTAGAATGAAGGGCACATTCTAATTAAAAGCAACATTCTGATTTTTTCAGAATGCAAGTCATCGCAGTATGAGTGGATTTTTTTTCCCCCTCCATGCTGCTCTCATCGCTCCCAGTTTTTGTTGTTTTGCCTCTGGATACCACCAAACCTGATTCTGTAGCACTAGATCTTTCAATCTTTAGCTGAAAAGCTAATGGTTAGAATAACCACCTATAATAATCCATCAGTAACAGCAGCTTGTAAACCAATACAAAGATCAAGCATAGCTTCTTCACCTTCACAGAACTGTGCCCAAGTAATTCTGATCAATTCCAGTGCTTTTGATTCTTAAAAGGCTAAAAACTTACCTTCAAATCAATTTTCCAATTAATTGTGATTACATAATGTTTAAATCGCATTATCATCAGTTTTTGTTCATTACTATGTGAATTATAAAGCCAGATCTCAAGTTACAGTGCATACTCTGCTGTAAAGTGTAAATGCATGCACAGTGTTTGAAAACCAGTCTTTGCTATTTCAAAGGCATCACGCTTTTCTATATTGCCATGGAATATATACTTCAAGTGAATTCAGCTGAATTTTGATTTATCATAGCTATAACAGTTGTAACTGCAGGCCAAGTTACATGCACTTATTTCTACGCATCTGAAATTGAGTAAAGTACCATTTTTAAATGCTTAAAAAAAACCAAAACACAAAACCCACAACCTCAGCAAGGCCTTAGAGACCATGCAAACAGCCTGTGTTCTGTGATCATCAAGCTTTTCGAATGTGACTAAAACTCAATTTAACTTACAGTATATCTACAAGATTACACTCAGTTATAGATTTTTCTTATCTTTGCTATGTATTTAATAGATTTAACATAATAAATTTACTGCTTGCAAGCTTTGTTTGACAGAGTAAGTGAAGTATTAAAGTCCTCTTCCTTTACTGTCTTCACATCTACTAGAACTAGGAACAAATGGTCAACCTGTAGTATATTACACTATTAATTATTAAACACAACAGGGAATATAAAAGCCCTAATGCCAACCACAGTATCACCTGCAGATTCTTAGAACAAAAATATAAACCTTAAGCTTCAGCAAGCACAGAACACATCCCAGTGGAAGCCAAAAAGCAACGTACAGCCTCCGTATCCACCAAGGATACATTCCTGAACAAGTATGTAACAGGACGGATAGCAAAGCAATTTTTCCTAAGAAATTACAGTGAAATACACACAAGTAAAACACGTAAGGAGAATATCTGTGACATGTAGGATGAAGAGGCCTGAGCAGGATCATCAGGATCACAAACTGGAAGAGATGTTGAGGTTTTTGGAATGGATCAGCATCCTGAAAGACTCAGATGCATTGGCTGTAACGCTGTAGCCCAACCATTACCTTGCTTTTCCATCCTTCATCCTTGAAGGACTTGTTTGATGATCTTCATCTGAGGAATGTAATCATCTTGAAAAGAAACTACTCGTAAAGACTCATGAGAATATTTGCACTAAAAAATTTCCATAAGATGTTCAGTATCAAAGTGCTGGAGATCTTTCAGAATGGTGCTCTTCTCCAAAAAGACAAAACTGCCTCCAGCTAATAATCCTGATAATCCCACTCATGCCTCTTTTCTAAACTATCCACACTTTCTCCATGCATTTAAATCATGTGTCTGTAATTTAGCACATTAGTTTTTATTGAAGAAACTTTTGCTATTGATTGAACCCAGCTACTTGACTGGTGACAGTTAGTGGAGAGCAGGAATAAATGGTCAGCAACAGAACTCAAAAAAAAAAAATCAGACAGAAGTGACGGATATCGGACTGCTGATGTATAAATAACCGATTTTTGTTTTCTCAATCTTTTACAAATGGCTGCTACCCAAAAAGGGACCCTAGTCTTCTCTGTACCATGTAAATGTTCTCTTAATGGAGATGTAGCGTGACTGAACTCTGAACTAAGATTTAGGAAGAATCTCTTTTCAGGTCTGACACTCATCTATATAGCTGAGCTGCATTTACTCCTCACCTCCATTAGCCTTTGCATCTATTTTGAAATCCAATGATGAAAAACCACTGTAAAAAAACCCTTATGTTCACTATATACAAAACATTGAATTCAGTTATAAAAAATGAACACAAGCCATGAGACAAAAAAGTTAAAGGGAAACCTTCCTTGGGTTTAATTTCAACTTGCTGTTTACCTAAATAAACTCAGAAAAAGAAATATTGAAGGACACTGTATATGCTGATACACATCTGGATTCAAAGCATATGCTTTAAGTGACAAACATTTAACATTGATAAACCAGAGTTTCAACAGTAATAAAAGCTAGCAACATAGATGTCAGTAAGCACATACTAAAAAAACACTTCAAAGACTCTGAATATTTGAAGGCCCTATGGAAAGCCACATGCAAAGGAAAGATGGTATCTACTTTTGGCACCCCTGCAGAATCATCCTAGAAGGTAAAGACTAAGCATACAGCATGAAGAGGAAGGGGAGGGGGAAAAAAAAAAAATCAACCAAAGAAAGACCTGTCACTGTGAGGAGCAATACTCTACTGAGCTTGATTTTCTCATGACCTGGGGCTGTAACAAATTCCATGCTTCTGCAGTGGCTGCTGTGAACTGGGTCTGTAGTTAGAGTACCAGATTACTGCCTAGTGAAGAGTTAAATTCCACATTTTGAGTAGCAGAAACTATACAGAAGACTTTGTTTACTGTCACCTATTTCCCTGAGAAGCTGGTGCCTGCCATCTAGTCTATTTACAATCTAGAGACAGCAATGTATGCGTATGTCATACAGTGTAATTCCTGTGATGACAAAGGAAAAAGAGTCAAGATAAAAAGAGAAAAAATAGAAAGCAGAGACAGAGAAGCAGAGTTAATTTTTAAGTTCTCAGGTGCTGCTGGATTACATGCCTGGTTCTAGTTATGTTACTATGATAAACATAGTTAGGGAATGGGGCAATTCTTGGAAGGATTACAAAAAGTGTTTGAATTTCAAACTCAACTAGAACAAGTGGTGGATTCATAATCTCATTTGAAAAGCCAGCTTCTCTTACTAGAGAAACTTTTAATACCAAAGGATTGCATGTGTTAATCACCTACTAACCACGGAGAAGACACCTTAATCATCTTACCTCACTCCTGTGGGGACATTAACTTTCTCCTGGACATCTTTAACTCAATCACTGATCTGCTTAAACTTTGTCTATGTTATGGAAATGAGAGGGCACAGCAGTATCTTTGGTGCGAGACCATTAAATTACAAAGAATAAGCAGAAAGGTTTAAAAAGGAAAACAGATTTCAAAGTAGTAACAAATCAAGCAAAAATCAACAACAATGTTCTTTAACTACTCTCATGTAATACTAAAAAAAGAAATTGGATATCAGATAGAGAAGCGTGTCATCATTAATGTTCTATGAACCTGAAAGCTGAAATAATAAGAGTTACAGTGACACTTAAAAAGAAACGCAACCAACATCCCCAGTAAGGGATTGGATCTCCTGACTTGCTCTTTGACCATTTGTCTGCAGCCACAGCTTTTCTCTCTTGCCTAAAGCAGCTATCAAAAGACCAGCTGCTGTGGCTGATGCAGTAGGATGAACTCCCACCTGACCATGACAGAGCCAAACTGCTGCACTACCAACAAGCCAGGGAAACTACTCCAGTCCATCTGAAAGAACCAGGCTTCTGCTGTCACTTATATGGAGAGGGAGGCTGGGGTTGAATGTGTCTCCTTGGGAGAGGACAAGATCAACATTCTGCTATATGAGCAAAACTCAACACCTGCACAGTCATCACCAACTCTGCACCAAACTGGGACGATATCTCACAGTTCACCAACAGAATGTGTAGGTGCATGAAGCTGTAGGCATCTTCAGGACTATTGTTAGATGTTTATTCATCCTTGTAATTACATACTGTAAATTCCCAGCAATACTAAGGATAAGAAAATAATATTTTCAAATTACTTCAGTAATTCTATGCAAAAAAAGAACATGGGCAAAAGTAGTGTAATTTAAAAAAACACTTCTAGACCATCTGCGGAACAAAGCAACACAGAGAAAGACCTAGTATCTTTCATCAAGTGATAACAAGAGCACCGTCATTAAGAAGGAAAAATCTGACAGATCTATTTGCTTCAATTCCAAAAAAGAGTTCAAATGAATCATTGAAATTGCACACAGAGATGGGCTTTTTCAAGATGACATCATTAATGGCCCAGTTCTGACTGTGCAATGCAATTTACTCTAAGGAAAGGGACAATTATCCAAATCTATCTAAGCACTTGACATTTCTGAGTCAGCCAAGAATTCAAACTGGTCAAAGCACAGCAAAAGAGAAGAGTGGAAAGAACAGATTCTCCTGATTTGGCAAACATCTTTTTTGTACAGCCAGACACTGATAACAATTTATCAGAGAAGCAAGTCTGAACTAAAGAGGGCAAACCATCAAGACTTGAACAAGGCACCTTTCCTGTTTATTTTTCCACTGTTATTATGTATATTTTGGATTAAAAGTTACTCCTTTGATTTATTTCACACACTTCTGACAATGCAAGCCTTAGTGAAAAATGAATTCGTCAGAACACCTGCCACTATCCTGGTTTCTTACGAGATGGATTTCAGCATTCTCCAAGCTGGAGGTGGACTTCTATGTCAGAGCATGGTCTGTTGGAAGAGCACGTTCAGAAAACGCACAGATTTCACAAAATTTACACCACTCCTAGCCATTCTATTGGCTAATACAGTGATCATTTTGTCCTTAATGGCTGTTCACATAAAAATGAACCTTCGCAAAGACAGAAAAAGCCAAGATATGACATGACAGACTTTTTGTATATTACAGAACAAAAGCAGCCCAGATCTTATATTTTACATAAATGAAAGACTTCCAGTAATCTCTTATTCAAGTTCCAGAGGAGTAAGAAGATAGAGAACTTCATGTCACCTGGTTTAAGCAGGAATTTGCCAATTCAAAATTTAACATGCCCATAACCTTGGCAGTTAAAGAAGATGCTTCCAGTCAGCATCAAAATGCATACAAACACTTACACTGGAGATGATAACATCGAGTCCAACAAAAATGACATGTTTTTTTTCTACAGCAAAACTGCTACAGAAACCCAATTTGAAGCATTCAACTTCACATATAATTTTAAGCATTGCTAAATTCACCCAGGGCTTCACTGGGACAGGCTACAGTCAGAAGCTAAAAGGACCCCATTTAGCATTTTATGAAAGTTAGAGGCTGAACACAGAGAAGCAATCAAAAGTGATTGGCAGAAACAGAGTTTCTAGGGGAAAGAATCTGCTTGACAGGCGGAGTGAAACTAGGAAGAGTTCTTTTTGCCATCTGTTCCTTCTACACTCAAAGACTATACATATTTCTTCCCTTCCCCAAAAAGCAGGGCTGCAACAAAGGAGTAGATGACACATCAATATTCAGGCTAACAGGGACAACTAATCAAGGCCCTAAATTCTCCTTAACTGCTTGTGCCAAAAGGACTTCAAGCAGCAATGCAAACATCTAGAGAAGGAACAAACAACTTCATTAAATACAAACTAAAGCAACAAGGCAAAAGGCACACATTCTGCACACAGAAGCTTGAGAAAATGGCAGAAAGCAGAAATATTAACAGAATAATTCTACTTCTATAATGTCTGTGGAATATAAGCATCTGTTAAATGTTTAGAAGATATTTAATATCTTTTGACTATTCTCTAGACAGATTCATTTGTTGAAGAGCTCAAAATTCTCAGAATATTTACTAGTATGTGATTTGAAAGGAAACTATTATTATGCAGTTATGAGACCAACTAATCTTTACATCCGGAAAAAACAGTTTCTTTCTGAAGAGGTTGATAAAACAATGCTATGAAAATATTCTATTTTCTTGAATAGAATATTCTCTTTTCTTGGTAAAGAAAAACAAAAATACCTTTTGTTCATTCAGCAGGTCTGTAATGGTTTGTGACATTTCATCCAAACTCTGTGCTGCTTTTACCAGGTTATGTAGAGCACGTACATGCTGGTGAAGAGGTTCAAAGTCACAAAGTATGGGAACCCTTAAAAACAGTATAGGATTAAATTTTTTCCATATTGTTAATCTGATATTCAAATATATTTAATTATTATGTGTATATTCCAACAAGACTAAGCTTCCCTCTACACAAGGTTTGTACTTTCTTCATTTCATCTATTTTACATGGAAAATCCACTAAAACCACCTGGTATTTGTGTTTTAAATTAAGAACTTGAGAGCTTTTAAGGAGTAGATAACAATAAACACAATGATGGGAAGTACTATGTCAGTCTTTCCTTCTGAGAAAAACATTTACCAGTAGTACCTAGAGTTACAATAACAGTAACAGAACAGAATTAGTAATGATTAGATCTGTAATTGAAGTACTTATGTTTGCAAACGACTCTTCTTCTCTCCGGTTGGATTCTCGCCAATCCAGCCCTTCCTTTGAAGTAGCTATTAATTCTCTACTATTTTATTTTAATGATAAGTAACCTAAATTAAAAGGCTGATTAATGTGTCATGATCATGTTGCAAGATAAGCTTTCGACTGCAAGTTTTCTAAACCTCTGGAAAAGCAACATTTATTTAATTTTTCTTGAGAGTCCATATATCCAGAATTTTTAATTTGTTCAGGAATAGCTCCATTGAAACCATGAAGTAGGAGTTCACTTAGACTAACAATATAATAAAAGCAGATTGCACTTCAGTGTATTTTGCATTCTCTATTCAATATACAGGGCAAGTGGCACCTAGTGTATTTTTGTAGAATTAAGATTTCAATAATTGCTCAAACATATAAGTTGAGAAGATTGAAGCACTGTAAGTAAACAGAAACATGATTTTAATTATGCAGCTCAGTGGTTCACTGCTGATAGAAAAGGACTCTGCACTGGGTCTCAGTTTACCTATTGTTTGCTTATTAGATGTTAAATGAAAATACCAAAGAAGTTTCATCTGAAGCTCAGTTTCTACCAAGGTGTGTGACAGCTTTGCCCACTCAAGTTCCAAGTCCATCCCTATCATCAATATTTCCACCAAATGTAACCCTGAGCCCAGAAACCAGGAGGAACATGACATAATCCCACCTCTATCGCCATCAAGTGGAAAGCTATGACACTACAATTCTGACCACATAAAACAGTTTGGTAAGTGGTTTTCTGACAATAGCAAGGCAAAATTCTTCCTGAACTCAGTATGAACTTCCTAGGAAGGCTGTCAAATACTCACAAACCCAAAAATCAGGCAAATATCAGCAATATGATACTACAATTTGCATTTTCTTCCTGCAGAATCACTAAGGAGCAAGCCTAAGAGCATAACGAGTAATTAAAAGGGTACATCAGCTGTATCATGATTTGGGGCAAATCCACTGTCAAGCAGACTAAGCTCACTATACTTATTGTTAATTCCAGCAGCAATACTAGAAGGATGGCCAGGAATTCCAAATCCAAAAGAATGCCAGTACAAAACAGAGGTGAAAACAGCACTAAATTCAGGTTCTGCAACTGTGCACCAATAACAGGTATCACGCTGATACTGTTGGTGAACCTGACAGATGACAGTGGAGCATCCTCTGTTTGCATGTACCTTATCATCCTTTGTGGGATTGTGGCCTTGGGGCTGAAAAATGGAATCTCAGCAAATCTCTAACGGCAGATCTCTTCTAGCAGAAGGATGATGGATACATGCAGCATCTGATTGTGGTCATACTGGCAGACAGATCTCTTCCTAGACAGAACCTTACAAAGAACTTGCTACTGCCTATTTCTTGCCCATTAACTTTGTTGGCATTTCTCTGTCCAGTTACTACAGGTTTAAGACATATGAATTTGAAAGGTCACTCTAACAGTCAACTTTTCCAGGAAGAGGCACTTAGAGAATACACCTTTTAGTAAAATAAGTCTGTCAGAGAAAAAGCAGTAATTGAATACAGGAGATCTCTGTGATCTCATGCTGGGTTAAATAAATTTATTTTATTTCCTCCAGAATACCAGGTTAACAATGGGCAAATATAAAAAAAATCTAATTCTGGTCTGACAAAACATACATGAAGTTATGAGTTTATTTCAGTTTAAGACTGACAACAAGAGTTTTTTGGGTTTTAGCCAGACACAGCTCAGAGGAATGTCAAACATCCTTTACATCTCAATACAGAACATGTGTTCAAATCATCTGAGCTTAAGTACATGAAGCATACAGGTAATACGTATTTGCATTAACCATTGAAAAGCACTGATTAAGATTGGTATTAGCTCAAAAAAATATCCTTGTCTGTTCCTTAAGAAAAATGAATTGTGGGTAGGAGCAGGACAGGAAGGGAAGCTATCTCCATAGCGCGCAGTTTAAAAAAGTGATTTACCTGAGTAACGGCTGTACTTCTGAAGGACAAAATGACTGCAAAAACTGCAAGTCACTTAATGAGATATCTGGAAGCTCACTGTCAAATCTGCGAGGTTTTCGTGTCTGTATTAAGAAAAAATTAATTTACATATTGCTGTTAAGGTAAATACCACCAAGATGACTAAGAAAGGATAAAAAAGGGCTTAATTTATAACACAGAAGAGTTGCAGTTAAATTGATCTCTCAAAGTATTTTCTTTTAAAAGAGCCATGTCTGGCCCAACTCCCACCCCCCTACAAAAAATTTCATTTACATTTCCAGCCATTAATTCTATCCATAGTGCCCTGGGCAGCCGTACTTCCTCCCTATTACCAAGCTTCATAAACATTAAGGATGTGTTTAAAAAGTTAAGGGATAAGAGATAGCACTGAAGTTTTACTTATTGTGCTATTAAACTTTGGGTCAAATATTAATTCAGTTCACTATTTAATAATGAAGTGAGTAGCGTTCTTATTTTTCCAAGTATCCTTTAAAAAAAAAAACTGCAAAGGAAAAGCTGAAAAGGTTAAGTGAGGCAAAGCGAGATGACAACATTAGAATCAGGGAGAATTATCTCACTTGAATTAACCAAGCTGTATGAAATCTAAGTTAAACAGGCAATGCTTGATTTTTCAGGTATACTTTTTCACCTCTTCGTGTTATCAGCCAAAAAAAAGAGATGAAAATGCTTTTCCACTCATCTAGTGATTACAGAAAAACATGAAAACCTTTTATTTGCTTTTACCACCCAATTAATTGTACAGCTCTATTATTCAGAAGAATGGATTAGATGATCAAATTATCCCTACTGGCTTCTTTTTTCTGATCATTAATAGGAATTTTTTGTTCAATATCAGACTCCTTGTTAAAAAGGAGTATCAAGTTGACACTTCCTCTCCCACCACACTGACAGTTATGAACCAACGTTAATATAGGTCACTTGAAATAGCAAAGAACACTAGCTCCCAGCTTTTTCGTCTGTCAGAGCAATATAACAGGCATATATCTTGAATTAATTAAGCTTAGGTTTTTAATTTATGGAAGTACTGTTTATAAAAATGAAATAAAATCCAAGAAGATATTGAGTACATACACAAAAGGATGGAGGCCAGGAGTCAAGTCCTCTAAACAAACGATTCCTTAGAAAAGACTTCCCTGGGCAAAGAAAAAATGGTCATTTAAAAGAAATAAATGCAACATATAAACAATGCCTCAAGAGAAAACAATTAAGCTACTGGAGTTTAACAGCTGAACTAAACTTGAAAGCATTACTAATTATGCCATTTCTTGACAACATAAAAATTACAAATAACCACAGAATTTGATGCAAAACCCACCATAACAGTAGACCTTCTCACTTCATTACAGCCTCTTTTTGCTTAATATTCACCCCATAAAAGCCTCAACTCCTTTTCCAAATTTTCATTGTAATCTTACTAATCTCCTTTCCAAAATTTTGATAAACTTTTGCTCAATTTTCTTATTCTAGTAGTTCATTCAGAACATAAGTTGCATACTTTGCAGAAAAAAGAAAAAATGATCACATTTCTTTTACCAGCAATTTTTTTTTTTTTTAACCTCTTTAGACATGGGTCTTCATTCTTTTTCTTTTCTTAAGTAGTACAGAAGTAGTCATAACAATACTCAAATATTCAGTAATGGTTTCAAAAGTGTTATTTAAAAGAACAGTAAAGCTCGCAGAGTACGTTCAAACAAACTGCGTTCAAATGTAATAATTAGAAATCTCATCTTTCACAAGCACTAATCAAAATTTTCACAGTATTTTGGATAAGTTATATGAAACAGTTCATTAAGTTGATTAATAGGAAAATTAATAGAAAAATGTTTTTTCATAATTGGACCATCTGGAACACTGCTGCATGCCTTTCTGATTTAAGTATAAAAAATACGGGTATTTAAACTACAACATAATGAAAGTATTTTAACTACAAAGGCAAAAGTCATACTTAACCACAATTCTGATTTCACAGAAGAGAAAGCACTTACTGAACAGTTTACCAAAAGATTCCCTTTTTGCCTTTTCAGCTTCATATAGGTGTTTCCCATCTTTTATTAAAGCACCCGCCCACTGTGGAAGGGAAAATATGTAGTTAGCTGTTAATTTATACATTGACACAAAGGTTTGGTCTCGAAGATTACTTGCTTACCTCCCTGTAGTGTTTTATGAACATTTTTCTCCTCACCACCTCAACAACAGCTAGACAGTACATTTGAGGAACAGTACTGAGAGCCTCTACAACCTTGACCCTTTCCAGGAGCTCTGTTACAAGACGAAGCAACGCCTGTAGTTTCTCTCCATCTTGGTCAGCATGAAGCATTACAAAACAACACCACCTGCAAAAGTAGGTTACACTTTAGAAGAGAACAACTTAGTGAAATTTAAATGCAGAAAAGATGACTAAGATTAGCAACATGTCTGGATGAAGTGAACAGTGTCATAATTTTACATGGGACGACAACAGGCTATCTGGAAGTACCAAGCAATTCAAAATTCAGTAACTGCCTTGCAGTTTTCTGTTAATTCTTCACAGTAAGTGCTCAAAACGCTTACCACCATTTGCGTTAAGGTATTGTTTTTGACAAGTAATGCTCTTAGCATACATAACCTTAGGAGGAATGATAATGTAACTTTCTCCAGAAGAATTAAAAGAAGCTGGTACATCCAGAGCAAAGAGGAGACTACTTTTTGTTTATAAATCTTAAAAATACTTATTGAAAAGCATTAGCAAGAAATATTGAGGGTAAGGATACTGTTTAGGAAGTTCACACCATCTCCTCACACACTACAAACTACAGCCACAAATTCCCACACCTTGTAACCACACCTTCAATTGTTATTGATACAATCAACACATTAATTTCAAGCACAGCCACCAACATAACTAAATCACAGGATAACTACTGAAAAGGTGATCAGCTGGTGTGTTTGAGGGGAAACATTACAGCAACTTTGCCACCAGAGAAGGCATAAGGTGGAGCCATATGCCGCAAGTAACAAAAAATTAAAAATTGTTTTTCTTGACAGAAGTGAAGTGAAACTACAAATACAAACAAGTCAACATTAAACAACTAGGAACATATACTAACAGAGAAACTACAAGACATGCACTGTTGACTTTCTCATAGTAACAAGCAGTAAGAAATAAAAAGAGGGCATTATATGAATCCAACAAGTGGCCAGTTCAAAACACAAAGGGAAATACATTTTCCACACAACATATAGTGAAGTTGCAGAACTTGCAAAAAACCAGAAGTTTGTGGATTCAAAAAGAAGTTGGACTAGTTCATGGAAAAAACCACCCATCAGCAATTAAACACAGAAAAGCTTCTTCTAGATCAGAGTATTCTCTTCTAAGAATATTTATATATAGTTAAGGTTATGTTCTTTCCTCATTATTAGATTCCCAATTACAGTCACTTGCTACTAACCGCTACTGAAGAAAAGTAACATCTTGAAGAACCACCTTTGGTTTGACCCAAAATACAGTGGGTTTTTTTGTTTTTGTTTTTTTT